TAATAATAATAACAACAACAACAACAATAATAATAATAATAATGATAATAATAATAATAATAATATATTTAAAGGATTATTATAATATGGTCAAAAAGATCATGATATTTTTTTTCGCTTGTTGTACAATGATATTTCGTTGTAATCAGCCCCTCGGCCTGGCTCACACTGACTCAGGTCCTGCCTGCCCGCTTACTAACTACATATTATTCCTCGGTTATATTCCTTTCCTTGATACATAATACTCCCCGAGTTGTTCCTGGAGAAACCCGAAGAATTATCCTTTTAAAAAATTGAATTAATATCAAATATTTTGCTCACGGAAAATCAACCAAGACTCTCTTACGTTGCTTTTCCAACAACGGTGGGGATCATTATTATAATGATAATGATGATGGTTTGAGTAAGTGCGAAAAGGAAAAGACAGCACCCCAATTTTTTTAAGTGGCGGAGACTTGGGTTTCTAAAGTTTTATGACTTTATAGCATCAACGTTTTGCCCTATTTGGCCTCTTTAGGAATGTAATTTTTAAAAAACCCTATGAAGGTGATGATGATATGTGAGATGTGCTGACAAAAACGGGTTACTTCTCACGATCCAAGAATGGAGATATCGGCTGAAAATCGAAACTGGGGTCATATTTATAAGATTTTCAATTTATGCTCTTTTGTTGTAGCTTACTGTGTTTGTTTTTTTACTATTCCAAGCTCACAAACTATACAAACTTCAACTATCAAGTTGATGTATCAATTTCCATAAGGCTGAAATCCGAGAAGTACCTTATTTTGTCAGCACACCTCACATATGTAAAACCACTTACTGCCTTAGACACTTGGGCGATTATGCAGTCCTTGTCTTCGAAACTGAGCTGTTGGAAGACCTTGCGAAGATTTGTGTCACAGAACTCAGAGAAAATGACGTAACAGTCTTTGAAAATAGCCTACAAAAGAAAGGAAAAACACAGGGGTGTGTATTTATAGATGTATGTACTTTTTTCCATATGAATTTTATGGCACTTACAACACAATCTGGTCATATAAGGAGCTGAAGATTGGAGGTGTTACTACAGAGTAACATACGAAGAAAAGGAGGAGGAGGGGGGAGAGATAAGGGCGACAGATAATTTGATAGGAATGATAGAACAAATTACACCAGTGAACACGAAAAACACCAGATATAAATACGCGTGTACACACAAAAATACACATACACACATACACAAATAAATGCGCATACACACACAAACACACACATATACACACATATACATACTCATACAAATAATATACCCACATACACATACATAATATACACAAATTCACACATAAACACATACATACATGCACATACATACACATACACATACATAATATACACACATTCACACATACTCACATACACACATGCACACACATACACATACTCATATACACACTTACCCCCACACACATACACATACACCCATATACACGCAGACTTATCCATGCACACACATACATACACAATCACACACACTTACACACTCAGATACACACACACATACGCACATACACACACTCTCTCACACAAACACACACAAACACACACCCATAAACACAGATACTCATATGCACACACATACATACACACTCACAAACCCTCACACAGACAAACACATACACACACAAACAACACACACACACACACACACACACACACACACACACACACACACACACACTCACATACCTTGAACAGGTTGGAAGATGAGGGGGAACTTTGGGAGAGAGGGCTTGGGTGGAGGTGGGGGTGGGGGTAGGGGTTGGAATAGGGAGGATGTGTGGTGGAGG